AATTGTGTAATGCAAGGTAGTAAATCTATGAGGGTTGCAAAACCTCGAGCGTCACGGAAAATTAATCCCAAAATTGATCCATTGTCAACAATTGACCCAATGTCAACATAGGTTTAGTGCGCAATGACTGGGCTAGCAACTGGCAGCTAATGTACCAAAGAGCTCGATTTAGGTTGTTCCGAAATCTTCCCAATTATATAAAGACTATTTCAGCTGCACGCAATTGCGTGCATTTTACGGGTCTGCAGTAGTATTAAAACAGGGCCATCAACATTTTTGTAAGGCTTTCTGGCAATGTTCGCCCACCTCAATTTCACTGTCGTATTCTTCCGCCTTTTTTTCCGATTTCCGGGACACTTGGGACCTAGTCGTGATGTTTCGTCGATAACCTTACCCACATTGGTGCATTCTCCGCCCACCAATAGCGTTCACCCTCCGTTGCCGGACTCTAACCACTTTTTCCCGGTCTCCAGGACTTCCTGGAACCGAGCTATGATGTTTCGTAGATAATCCGCCCTTTTGCTGCATGCCCGCCCACTAATAGCAGTTAACTTCATTTCCTTCGCTGACCTCTATCCACTTTTCCCCGGTCTCCGGGACTCTTTGAGACCGAATTATAACTTCGACGCAAACTCCGCCCACTTTTGTGCATGCCGCGCCCACCTATAGCAGCTTAACTTCTCTTCCTTCGCTGACCTCTATCCACTTTTTCCCGGTCTCCAGGACTTCTTGGAACCGAATTATAAGTTTGGCGCAAACTCCGCCCACATTGGCGCACGCTCCACCCACTAATAGCAGTTGACCTCCCTTCCGTTGCAGACTCGATCCACTTTTTTCCCGGTCTCCAGGACTTCTTGGAACCGAGTTATAATGTTTCGTGGATAACTCCGCCCACTTTGTGCATGCCCCGCCCACCAACAGCAGTTGACTTCATTTCCTTCGCCAACCTCTATCCACTTTTCCCCGGTCTCCGGGACTCATAGGAACCGAGTTATAAGCCTGGTTGCAAACTCCGCCCACTTTGGTGTAAGCCACGCCCAGCCTTGACATTTAGCTTCTCCTCCCTCCTAACCTATCCACTGTTTTCCGGTCTCTAAGTCATCTCGGAGCCGATTTATGAGCTCTTGTAGAAAACGCTGTCCGCTTCACGACACGCTCCGCCCATTGTGGGCGGGCCTCCGTTCACATCATGTGTGCTGGAAATACCTTAGACATTGCTCCCTGCACTAATTTCTTTTCTGCTCTGTAGGCTTTCTCCTAACCGAGTTATGAATATTTTCATTGAGCACTGCTTTTTAGAGAACGCCCCGCCCACCGAGGGTGGGTCTCCCCAATTCGATCTGGCTTACCAACGCACACCTATACCCACTTTTGTCCCCAGTCTCGAGGCTGTTTTGTGACTGAATTTGAAATCAACCGATTTCGCACGCCACGCCCACTGTGGGCGGGGCTCCGCTTGGCTGATGTGTGTTTTTTACTTCTCGGGATATGGTATACCCATCCCAAACTTGACCTGGACCCTGTAGGTTGTTGTTCGCTTAATACCGAATTTCGTGACAGACGGACAGACAGACAGATTTAGCGCATTATATATAGTAAAATAAGAATAGTAATTATCTACGCCATACGCACCGTGCACGCATGAGAGAAAACGAGCTCTGTTTACCAAGAATATCACTGACAGGGCGGTCACTGGGTTGGCGTGATTCGCTTCGTATCAAAAAAGTTTAATCTAGAGAGCCCGATAGCCTACGAGTCATTAGACTCTACTTCCTTCACGCGGCCACGCGTTTTTTCCATAATAGGACTCTGACGGCAGTGTCTCGATTCCGGTCGCCTCCTCTGGTCTCGATATAAGCTGAATCGTGACATAACACATATCTTAACACATACACACAGCAAATACAAAGCTCTACTGGTAGAAAAAGTGAGTTTGGTAAAAGACGACAGGAGTTGTGGACAGCCAGTGGATGGGCTTGAGGTCCTTACCAGGAAGGTCTTTCAGGGCGTGACGAGCTTTTTGAAAACGGTCTTTTGCATGATATAGGGGCAGATGCGGGGACCACAGAACCATGTTTAATTTTTCCTGAACGGCCCTCTGAATACCAGAAAAGGGGGTCCCTAGTTCGATTCCTCTTGGTGACAAATTTTTGCATTTCGAGTTGACGTTCCAAAATTCGCGCAAAATGGAGTTAGCATGAATAATTAGTACCATATTCATGATTAGGGCCGTCAGTAACTCCTACAAAAAGACTTTGACTTAAAAATTGGTGTGAGAGGTGTGACATCAAGCAGCCCCACTGTGGTGTCACACCTTTTTCACCAGTTTTTTAATCAAAGTCTATTTGTAAGGGTTACTGACGGTCCTAATCATGAATATGGTACTAATTATTCATGCTAACTCCATTTTGCGCGAATTTTGGAACGTCAACTCGAAATGCAAAATTTGTCACCACGAGGAATCGAACTAGGGACCTCCTTTTCTGGTATTCAGAGGGCCGTTCAGGAAAAATTGAACATGGTTCTGTGGTTCCCGCATCTGCCCCTATATCATGCAAAAGACCGTTTTCAAAAAGCTTGTCACGCCCTGAAAGACCTTCCTGGTTAGGAGGGACATTTTTCTCACAGCTATGCAAGTACATTTGAAACCCGACAAGCATTTTATTTCATTCCATAGTTTTATTAGAAATGATTCTCACATCTAAATACATGGTATCGCGGCGCCTCTTCGTCTGTGTTCACTCTACGAGAGAGCGCATTAGGCCAAGCCTTGGAAGGACTGGCCATGAGTGAACCAAATGGGGGGTAAAGCGGAGGAATAATATTTAAATATACACTACTCCACATAGTGGTATTTCCACTTAAAATTTTTCCGATATACGCATTCAAAGATTTCTCAGAAAACACCTCCGTGGAAGGTCTGTTGGGCATGTAGACACAGTTTTGAATATAAATCTGTATCACCTGTCGTCCCGTTGATCATCGATTGCTCGAGCGGGCGCCAGCAACGTCTCCATTCGTCCCTGTCGCGTGCTAGAGTTGTCCAGTGGACCCTCCTCGCTCGAGGGACACGACGTCCTTCATTCCTTTCGTTTAGAGCTTGAGCCGGATGTTCTTCGACTTCTTCACTACTCCCTCGATGTTCTTGTACGCTCCCCAAGCCGCTCGTTTCCTCCTGCTCAGCTCTGGAGCTAGATCGTTCATCATATTGATTTCCCGACCTAGGTACACGTAGCTGGAGCATTCGGTGATGTTCGTTCCGTTGAGCGTGAATGGGGCATCAGGAACCAATCCGTTTCTCATAAACATCGTCTTCGTTAGGTTCAGCTGTAGACCGACCTTACCACAGGCGCAGTCGAAATCAGCCAGCATTCGCTCCGCTTGCTCGATGTTCGGCGTTATAAGAACGATGTCGTCAGCAAAACGAAGGTGGTGTAGTTGCCGGCCGTCGACCTTCACTCCCATGTCTTCCCATTCCAGTTGACGCATGACGTTCTCGAGAGCGGCGCTGAAGAGTTTGGGCGAGATGGTGTCGCCCTGTCGAACCCCTCTCTTGACGTCGATGATGACCTCCTTGTAGAATGGTGAGATTCTGGTCGTAAAGTTGCTGTAGAGCTCACGAAGAATCTTGATGTACTGAGTAGGGACGCCCTGGTTGCCCAAGGCTTCGATGACCGCTTCTGTCTCCACAGAGTCGAAGGCCTTCTTCAAGTCGATGAACGTGAGACAAAGCGGCATCTTGTACTCTCGTGAAACTTCAATGAGTCTCGTAACCGTGTGGATATGGTCGATCGTGCTGAACCCTGTTCGGAATCCTGCATGCCTAGCTATCACCTTGGCTTGCGGCTTCAGAAGCAATCTCATACGAAACTCTCCTCACCATTCGAAGGCCTATGAATGTGGAACAAAAAATGCCGAGGAGGAAATTTTGGGGATGCTTTTTGAGTTGGTGTGAAAACATGGAATTTGAAATTAATTACGCGCACGTGAATCTCACGTGGCTGCCAAGGTCTGGGGAACGCGACAATGGGCAAAAGCTAGAAACGGTGAAAAACAAAGTTTTGAACTGGGGAGTAATGCATATCATTCGATAGCATTTTTCACGGGAAAGCTAACGGGCACATTTCAGGTCTGCGAGTTCATCTGGAAATGCAAAAAATCTGAACATTCCACAAGGGCATGACGAGGAGTGATGTTTGGGGCCACACCACGGAAGGAACGCTCACCTGCGACCAAGTTTTCATCTAATTTCCTAGCAAGTAAGCGTAGTACACGAAAGTTAAGGAATTTCTTCGCGTTCTTCTCAGGTTCCTTTGAAAAATCTCTTGGAAATTGGGACATGTCACAAAATAGGCCAACTAGTCCCGCTGAAATCCGATCTGAGATTTGCATGTGAACGCGAGGGAAGGGAATTTTGGGCTCAGAGACTACACGTCTCACCGTTCAGCTTCTCGAAATGAAATAGAAATCGGGGAAACTTGAAAAAATTCAATTAATCTCGCAATATAGTACGCAAAGTCGAGTACGTGGCGCATTCTGGGGCGGGTCTTGAAGCCCTTCTTTCTATAGAACCATTAGTCTTCACTAGTGTGCATCACATCCAATCAGTTATTTCTGGATGAAACTCGAGTGCATGGCGCAATCCTATATGGAGCTTTTCCAAAGTATCAAAGCACATTCTTATAGTGTCCGACGAGCTGAATTCAAAGATATCTTCGGATTCTCGAAAGCTCAATTTTGAACCGAGTTATAACGAATTCACGAAATTAACGAGGATTCGCGGGATTCGCGTGGATTTGCGGTGGAATATTTTTGATTTCAAAACGCGAGTACTGTAGAATGAAGTGAATGAATGTGTACTTCAAAACTTGATTATTGTCATATAACTTTCAATTTCTGTGGGTCGTAAGAAAACAAGCACAAATCTTGATGTTCAGAACGTGATCTCAGAACCACAAGGGCTACCCGTGGATCCCAAGAATAATCCCGACGTCGTTGTGATGGTGATTGATTCAGTAGCATCAACGCAGTCTATCAGGTTTTTAGATTTTTTCTTTCTGTTGTTTGCTCTGTTGTCTTTTTTGCTGAAAAGATTACAGGATATTTTGAAGCACTATAGTGAGGAGAACGGAAGTTATATTAAAGCGATTTTTTTTGATTTGGTTATGTTATTAATACCGCGTCTATGCGTTAGCAGATGCTAACTGCAAAATGGTCAAGCAGTTACTATCCTCCAGTATAGTATTGAAGTTGGTCGCTAGTCTTGCAACGACCGGCTAATTCTAATTTTATTATTCTTCTGTTCTCTGCCTTCTCCTTCTCAACTTTATCGGAATAATAACCCAGCACATCAATAATCATAACACCAATATAGCAATACTAATTGCCATTTAGAAGTTGTTCGATGCCTCCCTTGTAGGACTCCACTGAATTCTGATCGAAGAAAGATCAGATGTCGATTTTGACATCATGATGGTTAGGATGAGCTTTCTTCTCTAGGAGTGGTCTGGAGAGGGGAGCAGAAGGGCATCCTTTGGCACGAGGTCAGGGCTATAAGGTGGATACGGAAGAACTCTCCGTCCGAGAGTCCAAAATTTTCCTGATTTTCTTAGCAAGAGGTGGTTCAACGGTGTCATAAAAAAGCAAACTTTGCCTTGTTTTTCTTTCGTATTAAAAGCGTTGCAATCGAGCTGTGGACGGTTGACTTCCGCGTTGACTGCGACATCTACACGTAGGGGTTTCCAGAGCTCAACTCCTCTCGTGTTCCACCAAAAATCCGAGAAGGCCCTACTTGGACGAGGTTGAACTTTAGCAGAAGGAATTTCCAAAGCGTTTGAGCTAGACTATCGCCGCTGGTTTACAGGGGGCCAAAAAAGGGTCACTTTGCCCATGGCGCATATCATCAAACTTTTCGTCGCAAAGGATGCCGCTGTTATTGGGAGTTATACGGCGAATTATTCCTTAGATGTCCCCCATAAGCAGAATCAGGCCCACCTTCGCTGCTTTCACCGTCTCCAGAATATGACGTCATCTGTCATCACCGTCGAGCTCAAGGAGGCCTACCATAATCGCTCCATTCTGAAGCTGCTACATAATTTCTTCAATCGGATAACTGGTGAATGGCTTCTTAGAGACACTAGCTCTGACTATGCAAAATGGCTTTTGACCAGCGTTTCAGAGACGTCGTAATGGTCTATGGTTTCTCGACGACCTCGTTGAGCTCGTACCGTGAACCATGTTTCCGTGGGAAAATCTTCTGATGTCGTCGGTGTAGAAGGCCCTATGTAATTTTTTTTGATAGAATAGAATGTGCTCTTCAATATGCAATTGAGCTCATTCGGTTTGGTTTTGGCAAAGTGTAATTAATTCTGTTTTGAATGTGAGTGAGGGTGACTCTTTTTTGGCCTCTCTGTACTACTCGTCTTTGGCAAATGTGATGGATGGTCAATCGAAGAATCCATAGTAAGTCGACTTGAACATAACGGTGTCAGATCGTGTTTGGAGCTGAATCGGGCTCAAGGCACGTGGGATCCAAACTCTATATTTTCGGATCTTCACAAGTCTTTGGAGATGCCTCAGTGCTGTCTCCTTGTCGCATCAGAATTGCTCTGGCAAACGATCGATAGTCCA